CATTTTACTGATTTCTGTTTTTATTTCATTTTGTTCAGAGAGTGCCTATTGAGTTCAATTTCAGATTTATTTTTTATTGTCTTTTTTTTAATTTGTGGAGACTTGTTTTATGGCCCAGGGTGTGTGCTCCCTCTTGGTGAGTCATGGCATGTGTGTTGGAAAGGAAGTCGATTCTGCTGTGACTGATGTTTGTACAAATCAGCCTAGTGTGTCAGCATTGCTCAGACGGTATGTAAGTGAGCTGTGTGGCACCATACAGCACCCAGCATACCCGCTGTAGACAGAGTAGGGCTGTTGTCCTCACTCATGGTTTTGGAGGTTCCAGACTGTAGTTTTAGCTCATTAGGAAGAGTGTGGCAGAGCAAACCTGTCCCCTCACCTTATGGTGGAGAAAGCTAGGTCACACAGCCCTCGGAGGGCAGCCCGCAGTGACCCGACGCCCTCCGCTCGTCTCTTTATTTGATGTGAGTTCTGTCATATAGCCTCATGCGCTTACTGTCGGCCCTGTGTGTCTTTCCGTTCGCTTACCTCCCACTCTATGCGCCTTTATAGACCAACTAGGTGTCTTCCAGACAGAAGCCTGGAGTCCTCGAGTCTTGTGTGGGCAGGGAGTGGGCAGAGTTGCCCATTCTGATAATGTGTGCCATTTAATTGCAGTGTTTGCTGGTATTAACATTTGGTATAATTAGTGATAATTAGTATATTGGTTGGATTTATGTCTACTGGTTTAGTCACCCCCATACTTTAGTTTTCACTAGCAGAGAACGATCATTTCATTGAATTCCATCCTTTTATAATTCTGTGTAGTTGTTTTCTCTGCATCCCTTGATAGAGAACGTCTTAAGAGGAAATAGTAAGGACCCATGTATCCAAAGGATAGAGGCACACAGTGCATATGAAGTGGGGAAAGTGGAAATGCCGTCATTAAGTCTCCATCCTGGGTTAATGTTGGACTGCTGGCCAGCTCCTGCCTCAGCCTCCCGGGAAGCTGAAAGAAGGAGCACTTGCCTGTGTGCCGGTAGACTTCTCTCCTCGCTTTGCCTTGTCAGCGGCTTTAAGCATGTAGTTGTTCTGTGCTTTAGTTTCCCTGGTGCCATGAAAATGAAACAGTGGGACGAAAATGTCCCCGCAGGGGACCGTCTCCGACACTTGTGATTTGTTGATTGCAGTGACGTTTATCTAAAGATGTGTTCACACTTTGTTTCTCACCTAGCCATCACCTTCTGTCGGGGTCAGGCAGCTTTTTGGTGATGCTCCTGTGCATTCGACCCCTAAGTTTAGATACATCAGTATAGGTATGATAGATAGTAAAAGTATGTCACACTGGTGGCTTTTTCCTGTTCCTGCTGTGGGACCCTTGGTCCCTCAACTGTCTATATGATCATGACCATAAAACATTAAGCTGTGGGAAGAATAAACACAAGAACGTCAAGGGACGCTCTAGTGTGCCATCAGCCTTGTTGACTAGTGTGATAGGTAGGGTACCTGAGTTCCTCTTATCTGCAGTGTCACCAGCTTACTTAGAAATCAGAGCTCTCTTTGGCTTTTTCAATCATACTGGGCAGAGACTGTTGACTTTGAGATCCTATTAACATAACCAGTCTCTAGAAAGAAATTGGATTATGATCTCAAAAAGGGAAGGATGAATCCTCTAAGCCCATTTAAGTCTAGAGCCTCACTAATTGTGAGAAGTATCAGATTTTCTTGAGGGAGTTTCCAAGTATGGTAATAATTTAGAAAGGACCTTTGTTCTGTGATTGTGGTCCTGAAGCATTCAGTAATAACCCAGGTGTCAGTCCGAGCACAGCTTCATCAGTCCGAAGAACAGCTCATTTGGGGCCTGTAGACGATGGGAAGAGTTCGTAGATTATGACTAACGGAAGCTAGTATTTCGTCTCTGGGCCCTCATCTACTTCTCTTTAGCTTGACTGGGTTGAGTTTGGGATCCCGTAGCTTGACTGTGAAGCAACTCTGGGATAAAAACTAGATTTTTAGTTTGTCTGAATCTGCCCTGATTCAAGGGACCACTACTGTTTGCAAGAGGGAAGATAGCCAGCCTTCATCTGGAGGCTCTGAGAAGGGAGAGAGTCCTCTGTCCTGACGACACCATACTCACCCATTCATTCTCCGTGTTCATGTCTTTGTTTTGGTTAGAGGAGTTAGTCCAGAACTCCTAAGCTATTAGTCACTAAACATTGTTGGGCCTGCTGGGAGCTCCCTGTCTAAAAGGAGAAGCAGACATATCCATAAATAACAGACTAACTTTGTAGTGTGGATGAACACGGAACTCTTAGCAAGGGTTCTGAGATGTCGTGGAGGAGCAGTGTCCTTGAGCCGAGTGGAGGCCTGGGTGCCATGGCTTTCGTTTGCTTTTCATTTCTAGGTGAGGCTCTCCTTGCCCTCCATCCTGCTCCCTGCCCACTGGGAACAGTTCCGACTGTACATTATTGACTTGGTATGTTTCTAAGAGGGCATGAGCTTCTTACCTAGCTGTAACCTGCAGGAAATGCATAGGCTTCAGTGCAGCCCTGCAGCCTTCCTAAAACAACCTCTTAGCTGCATTATAAAGCAGTAGTTCCAGCGGGAAAACTGAGTCTAAGTCCTGGCTCTGTCTCCTTGAAGGTAAAACAGCTTCTCTGCCCCAGAACCTAAGAAGTCTGAAATCCGAGAAGGTAAGGTGTTGACTGCAGTCCTGAAAGAGGCTCACTTGCTAAGCAGCTGGCTAAATGACAGGGGCGTTATGGAGCAGACCCTGAAGTGCTCAGACTAAGTAGTGTCTTGTCTACACACACTAGCGGATGAGAAAGACTGTTCCATAGACATCCTTACATCTCTTAAATGAGGCAGCAGGTTTACTAAGGTAGCAGACTACATACATACAGCAACAGCAGAGTCACCTCAGCTCATGGAAACACTGTTGTTTTGATTGTTCAGATTTGATTAGAATTTCCACTTCATTGCTTTTTGGATGGAAATACAATTCTGAAAGGAAATCTAAAATACTAGCCCTTTTGTTTGGTTTGTCAAGACAGGGTTTCTCTGTGTAGCCCAGGCTATCCTGGAACTTGCCCTGTAGACCAGGCTGGCCTCGAACTCACAGAGATCTGCCCGCCTCTGCCTCCTGAGTGCTGGGATTAAAAGCGTGCGCTTTTTAAAGTGTGAGTTATTTTCTCTCTCTCCACGTTTCATTTTTAAAACGGAGTTAAGTTTTTGAGAGTAAGATTTGCCTCTGAGTACTGTGTTTTGATTCACAAGGTGGTGGTATCATGCTTGTAGCAGCTTCCTCTGTATCCTCTGTGGTCATGGATGCTCTGTAACAGACAGATTAGTTCATAGGTTTTCCTTTCCTCTGGGCAGGTCCTCGCTGCTGCTGTTGCCAACTCCCTAGTCTTCCACAGTGATGGATCTGTCACCATGCCCAGGCTCTCTTGCCTATGGCCATTGCTTTTGAGAAATACCAATTAATAGGAAGGTTTGTGGTACATGTTAGAGTCTGGATTCTAGGATGTTTTCAGTTACTTTTTTGAAAAGTACTCAGAGCTTTCTATCTTCTTTCATCCATCTATATACTATGCTTTCTCCACAGTGGTTTCTTTCTTTCTTGTTTTCTTTCTTCTTCTAATTTTAGATAGTCCCTGAAGCCCATAATTGCTGTTGGAAGCAGATGAGTTGTGTTTATCGTGTGCCTTATCATGTGCTTCCCGTCCTCCCTGTCTTGGTGTCCACTGTTTGGCAGGCACAGGACTTTGTGGGAAATTGGAGAGAGGAGGGAGGGGTTGTTGCCCTGTCTTAAACAGCACTTGATAAGCTATGAGCCCTCTTTTCTTCAGATTCACTCCTTAGGTATTTCCCTTCCTCTGTGTCACGTCTCACGGAAGACTTCCAATGTGTTAGATGGGACTGTACAGCCAGTCCTGCAGCTCAGTGATTCTTCACACTCTAATTCTTATCATTTTAAATTGGTCCGTTTTAATTGACACAGAAGAATGAAGAAATGAAACTAAGTTACAAATCATTATGCTGTCTGCTTTTCAAAACTCCTGCAGAAAGAAGAGAAGTAAATAACTGCAGGTTTCCCTCAGTCTCCCACCCACCCGATGAGAACAGTGTGGAAAGGATCGAAGACCGGTTACAGTTAGGGGTAGAGATGCCGAGACAGACAGAGGCTGCGACCCAGAGGTCGGCAGACCCTCTTCAGTGCCTAACTTGGATTTTAGTTATCCACCTTGTGTCTTGAATCCGTTTGAGCTTGAGTGATAAGGACCTCTCAGTTGACAGACCACAGTGACCTCCACCCCTGAGTTTCTGACACCCCACCTCACCAGCCCCCGATAGATGCTATGACCTTGGGCCAGCAGTAAGGCCATTGCCTCAGATAACTTAAATCCAAGGTGGTCTTCACTATCTTGTATCTAGACTTGGTGAGAAAAACGGAAAAAAAAATGCTCCCTAATTTTGCACATTCCTAGAAGCTAGGCTTCTGGGTGCACGAAAGACATTTCACCCAAATGATCCCTGCCTGCAGCCTCCGCTGCGCCCTCTCCTCTGTCTCCTGTATTTAAAATGACTCTGTGATGCCGTGAGAAATAAGTAATGCAGATGGCTTTTGCTTATGTGAAATCGGTTGCTAGGAATTGAGAAACAGCTTTTCACAGTTGAAATCACTGTTTTCAAGATGATTATGGCTGCACCTAACTGCGTGTGAATAATAATGATAACGGTAATGACATGAGGATGCGCCGTGCACTTGTGTCAGCTCTGTGAAGTGTGGGTACCATCGTTACCATCTTTTTGTGGATGAAGATGCCAGAGAGGTTAATAGCATTGCTGTTTGCCTGGTGATGAGGAAGTAGCAGAGCTGGGATTTGAACTTACACTGTCTGGCTCCAGAGCCCACACACTTAGCTACTGTCTCGTCCTGGAAAGACTAAGAGAAGGCAGGCTGGGAAGAAATGACCCCAGACAGTGGCGGGTATAGTCATTCCAGTTCTGCTCTGCAGGCATTCTGAGAGGAGCTTCACGAAGTGTGTTGGAATTACGATTGAGACCAGACCGGATTATTGCATGAAGCGGCACCTAAGCGACATGTTGACTTACGGCTGCACGAGACTGGAGATCGGGGTGCAGAGTGTCTATGAAGACGTGGCCAGGGATACCAACAGGTGAGATGGTGGCAGGTGGCCAGCACAGGCCTTCTCTGTCCCACTGGCTTCTCTCTCTCCGTACTCACCCTTCTTCCTTGAGCTCAGTCCCAGAGAAAAGCAGCCTAGAGGAACGGCAGGCCCAGGACTTTGTCCTTTGAGTAACAGATCTGTTGAATACTTCTAAGCACAGGGAAAACCTGGTGGGTATTGTACCTACAAAAGAGGAACCTGAGCAGAGCGAAGTCATGTAGGGAAAGTCTCACACAGGAAGGATGCTTGGAGAGTGTGGTAGTCACAGGCTGTGCTAGGGAGTCCCCGTGGAGATGGTCAGGGGAGCTTCCTAAAGAAATGACATCTAAACTGAGGCTAAAAGGAGACTAGAGTTCATTGTGTGCTGCCCCAGAGGAAAGCTGTTTGAGGATGGAAGCACATGGTAAGCAGAGGCCTGGGTTATGAGGCCCAGGAATCAGCCCCAAGAGCCTGGCTTTAATCAGGAAGCAGGCTGGGAGCTAAGACAGGAGCATGCCTGAGTTGAAGTAAGAGCCCTCCAGTATGGGCGATGGTTTAAAGGGGGCTGAAGGGAGACAGACTCAGCCCATAGCTGTTGAAGTAATTTAAACAGGAAACCCTGGAGTCCTGGAAAGCAGTGGGTGCTGCTTGGTGTCTGCTGGGAGGGAAGTCCAGGAACCTTGGAAGGAAGAGGTTTCACTTGGATACACTAAATGTTGCATGCTTTAGAGCAGGCCTAGGTGGGACCACCACTTTCCATGACATCACTGTCCCATGAGACAGGACAGCCGAGGAAATGAATATTTCTTTGTAATTGAATTTTTAAAGCCACATACACATAGTCGTGACCATATCGTACAGTAACTTTGAAGTAGAATTATTGAGTGCAGAACTCAGGAGAGAGTCCGAGCCTCATCCCAGAACTTTGGACGTCACTAGTGAAAAACCAATTAGAAATAAGAGTGAGGCCTTGGGAATAAGTGGGGACCCAAAGGGGGTCCGGTAGAGCCGTGGCTTCTGAGACCTTCTGTGCTAAGTGGGAGGAAGGAATTGTCACAGGCTTCACTGGTTAGTCACCCCAGCTGTCATCCAAGCCGATGCCTGCTTGGATGTGGCAGGAAAGGAACGCTGAGAGGCTTGATCCAACCCTGTGCCAGCAAAACCTTCCATGACAGACCCTGGAACATACTGGGGATCTGCTTCGGATTGTCGTTCCTTCCCGTTCCTTCCTCCTCTACCAGCATTTCCTAAGTGAAATGACATCTCAAGTCAAAGCTCCTGCGTGGTTTGGTTTGTTATGGTTGTTGCCCAGTGTGGCTCCAAACCTGGGCTGTAGCCAAGGACATCTTGAAGCCTCCTGCTCCACCTCCCAGGTGCCAGGACTCTAAGTGGGTAGCCGCCCTGCCTGGCTCCTGTATGGACCTCATTTAACGCTGATGCTGCAGTAATAAACTGATTTCACAGATGGTGCTGAGCCGTGTCATCTGGTCCGCAGCGGTCCTTATTTCCCAGCCTTTGCTGAGCAGGTGCAGGAGAGGTTTCTGAACAGTGTCTTGGAAGCACAGTGGTTTTCCTCCAGCATCCCTGGAGCTGTGTAAGAGTGACTTCTGGGTTCTGTTCCCAACCAGGGGACTCAGTCTCACGGATCGTTTCCCTCCTCCTTCACCACCTACCACCCACCCTGCTCCCCCACCCCCCACCCCCACCCCGTTAACGTGATCGTCCGTGTAGTTGTCTAACAGGTAATATGTTTTCTCCCCAGGGGCCACACTGTGAAGGCGACATGTGAATCATTCCACCTGGCCAAAGACTGCGGTTTCAAAGTGGTGGCTCACATGATGCCTGACCTGCCAAACGTGGGACTGGAACGAGACATCGAGCAGTTCATAGTGAGTGTGGCCTTGAGCTGGCAGACCCAGATTGCCTCTGCCAGCTTTCGTTCCTCTCCGCTCTTGCTTCTTGACGTTTGTGTTTTCCATTCTTAAAGCTATAAGACCTGTTCCAAAATACTAGAAACACAATAAAGAAGGGTCACCCACCTCCCCGGTGTCAGACAGAAACCATATTTTAATACAGTCTTGTCAAGCTTGGCGCTGGAGAGATGGCTTAGTGGTTAGAGCACTGACTACTCTTCCAGAGGACCTGGGTTCTATTCCCAGCACCCACATGGTAGCTCATAACCATCTGAAACTCCATTTCCAGGGATCCAACACCTTCTTCTGGCCTCCCTGGGCACTAGGCACACATGTAGACAAACACTTTTACACATTTTCTTTTTTAACTATAAAATGCTTGGGATTTGAGGAACCCAGGTTGTTTATGCGTAGGTAACGCAGGCACACCCACATTTACATGTAGATGAGGAAGGTTTTTCTTGATGTAGTTTTTTTACTTAATATTAAAACAAGCATTTACGGAATCACAAGAAGTGACATTTCCACGTGGTGGCAGGTGGCATAGGTAAGCACAGGGCCCGTCAGTCAGATGCTGGCTTTTCTGTTCTCATCCATTGTGGCCAGCCAGAATCCTATAGTCCCATGACCCTAGAGGGGGAAAAAACCCTTCTCAGCCGGCACAGGCTTACTTAAAATCTTGCTCCACACCAGGTGGTGGTGGCGCAGGCCTTTAATCCCAGCACTCGGGAGGTAGAGGCAGGCGGATCTCTGTGAGTTCAAGGCCAACCTGGTCTACAGAGTGAGATCCAGGAAAGGCGCAAAGCTACACAGAGAAACCCTGTCTCGAAGGAAAAAAAAAAATCTTTTTCCACAATTTTTCAAAAGTCATGTATACTGTTAAAAGATGTTGTCGTCTGGAAGGAAGGAAGGTAGCCTTTCCAAAGAGTGTGCTCAGTGTGAGGCTGGCGGCAGCCGTAGACGGGCTGCACAGGAGGCTGTATCGTGCAGCACAGGCTGGGGCTCCTCAGCAGTGACATCTCGTCATCCCAGGGCACACTTGCTGACAGAAAGGACAGGCGGCCCCAGGCCTGCTGCAGGGGGAGAGAAGCTGACGTGGGCCTTCCCTGGGGGACAGAACTAACGGAAGGGTCATTTTTGGTTCTCTGTCTCTAGGAGTTTTTTGAGAACCCTGCTTTTCGTCCTGATGGTTTGAAGCTGTACCCCACCCTGGTGATCCGTGGGACCGGGCTGTATGAGCTGTGGAAGTCAGGACGATACAGGAGCTACTCCCCCAGTGACCTGGTCGAGCTGGTGGCTCGGGTCCTCGCCCTCGTGCCCCCGTGGACGCGTGTGTACCGAGTGCAGAGGTGCGTGTCACTTTCCAGACCCCAGATAACGGGTGCTCTCTAAAGGAGCAGTCTGCTTAGGTAGCGGAGTTTCCGATCCTTTCTTAGATTAGAAGTAGATATCGGGAATGCCATGTGTATGACTAAGGGGAGTGTGCCCAGGCCTCATGGCCAGTGTTGTAGATAGTCACCATCCACTAACCATGAGCCAGGAAAGGAAGAACAACTTGAAGGGGTCCCATGGGCAAAATCTAGGACAATTTGAACATCAAAATAAATATATTAAGGGGCTGGGTAGATGGGTCAGTCAGTAAAGTACTTCCATGCAAGCATGAGGACCTGACTGTGATCCCCAGAACCCAGGTAAAGGAAGCCCAGTGTGGTCACACATGCTTGTAATCTCAGCACTGGGGAGAGAGACAGGCAGGCCCTGGAGGCTCAGTGACCAGCCAGCCTAGCTTACTTGGTGAATTCCAGACCACTGGGACTCTGTCTCAAAAGGATGTGGACAGCACCTAAGGAACCACACCAGAGCTTGTTCTCTGGCCTCCATGTACATGCACACGCATGCATGCACAAGCATACACACACACTATAGACATATAGGGGTGTGTATGTGTGTATGTGTGTGAATAAATTATAACCAAATCAATAAAGTAGGATTCCTCCAGTCCAACTGCTAATCTTAATTAGGTCAGTAATTTGTATACCTCAGAAGCATAATATCAGCAGTCTTCTTTACATGTCGATTCTGTATTTGCAAATTTACCTACTAGAAAATTGTGTGACTCAGACTCTATCCTCGTAACACATTTGCCATAAATCATTCTCAGAAGAGTGAACAATTTGGGTCGCTCATGTACACGCTCTTAACTGAGGTCAGGACGCTGCCTCTCTGCCTCTTTGCAGCCTTCACACTGTAAGCAAGTGTTCTTTTTGCACTCAGCTTAATGCTCCATTTTTCAGGTTTTTGTGAGCTGGTTAAGAATCGGCTCTTAGAATGACCTCCAGACACAGTGCTCATGTGCTGTTATTGCTCCTAAGTGCTGGAAGGCTGTGAAGTGGCTTATGGAGGGAATAGGTTGTGCTGGGGAGTCTTTATTGAGAAGGCCCGGAAAGAACCGTCGGCCAATCAACCAACTACATAGCTTAAATAAGGTGTCTTTAAACAGAAGCGCAGAGAGCAGGCACTTATTTATTGATGGTTGACAAAAAACTCTGGCAGGAGAGGCTCATGGGAACCTACCCCTGTGTGCTCTGTAGGAGCAGTGGATCTGGTTCACCTCTGTAGTGTTGGTGAAAGCCTGAAAGAACGTAATTCCCTACTGACTGCTTACCTACCAGAGATCTAGAACCGACTAAACGTAGTTGAAGTTTTCCCCTACAGGATACTTACTACAAAGTAGAAGGGAGAAGCCTGGCCACTGACTGGAGTGAGCATTGTCCAAAACCAATGAACTCAGTTGTGCGCCACCTGCTAGGACCAGTTGACACCACAGCATCACCTCAGCCAGTGTCTGTAACTCCGTCTCTTCATGAGCCAACATTATATAACCCCAAGTAGACGCACATTCTAGAAAATGACTAGCGCTTCCTCTTTCAAAGTGTCAGGGTCAGGGAGTGAGTTCTGTGTGATGGAGACTGAAGAAATGTGGCAGCTAAATACAGGATGGGGACTGGCTCCTTTTGCTGGAGCAGCAGCAGAGTGTCTGTTGGGCAGTTTTGTGGTTGTGATAGAATCTGCTCACAAGATGTCCGAGTGTCCCGAGTCTTGCCACGTCGCACTCACTTCTTCCTCTCCGGTGGGTCAGGACCATAGTTATTCGAACTTCTTCTGTGACTCAGAGATCGTTTCCCAAGATGTGAATTAGTACCACAGGAGAGAGGAGCCCAACAAGAACAGTACAGTAACTGAGGAGGCAAAGGCAGCGGTCATGTGAGTCTGACTGGACAGCCCAGTCACAGAAGAGGCCAGTCCCACCCGCGCCCACCCCGAGAACCAGGGTCTTCAATGGAAGAAGCCTCCTGTTTCCTTACTGCTGAGTCAGCGGCAGCAGAGATGTTCGTGTGACAATGAGCAGCTTCATTTCAGGGGCCTCAGGAAAGAGCGCCGTGGGCCGTGGCTCTGCCTGCACCGGCTGAGGCAGTGAGGATTTAGGGGTCTTTTAAGTATCTGAGGGAAAGGGAGCATGAAGTGTGCAGCCTTGAGGCTTTGGAGGACGCCCTGTGCTTCACAAACACAAGGGATGGCGAGCTCTCCTGAAGGTGTGGAGTCAGGAGAGTCCAGGGACAGCTTTGGAAGAGAGCAAGGCTCCAACAGTCCACACCTGGCGAGGCAGCGCCTCAGCGCCAGCGCGGGGTCAGCTTTCCACAATGTGCGCTGGTAACTCGCCTAACTGAAGAGAATCCTTCGCTGTTTAATTCAGAGACAGTCTTTTTATAATATTTTCCATTTTATCTTTTGAAATTATGTTTTATTTTGGTGGTTTTAAAATATAACTATGATACTTATTACACAAGTTCATCCATAGAGGTTTTGGTTTGTACAGCCTACTATGGTCCAGTAAAACACTGGTTGGGTAAACATGGGGAGAATTTCTTCAAGATATTTTGATTTTATGTTTTTGATTAGATATTATTGCTGAAATGTTAGTGTAACTATCTGCATGGAAATTCATATTTTTTATATTTTGCTACTTGGCTTTTATTATCTTTGTGTGTGTGGTATCTATACACAGTTACCACTGTGAGGATATGGAGGTCAGAGGACAACTTTCAGGAGTCAGTGTGTGTGTGTGTGTGTGTGTGTGTGTGTGTGTGTGTGTGTGTGTGTGTGTGTGTGTGTACAGCTTTCAGGCGTCAGTTCTCCTTCCACCATGGGTTCCAGGAACCGACCTCAAGTCTCGGATGCTCTACCCACTGAGCTGCCCCACCATTCTGCTCTTTGGTTTGTGCCCATCTTTATTTCCAGATCTTCTGTGTACATCTGGCTTTCTGTGTTCTTGAGTTCTGCATCCATGGCCTCAAGCAACCCCAGATAAAAACTTCCCAAGGAGAAGCTACGTGAGCACACCAACACTGCCGTTGTTCTGTACACAGTGTAGCCGTGACTCCCCAGACTGCCCTTGTGCCACAAACGATGGGTCATCTGCAGAGCATGGAAAGCATGCATGTGGCATCATCTTCATAGAAACAAGCATTCCGTGGTGCCTGCAGGTGATCCTGGAATACTGAGGGGTGCTGTACTGCACTTAGAAATGACTCCAACTTAATATAGACTCTAAGTTCCCGTTGTCCTCAGTAATCACTGGGAGTTGAGCCTCCACTTCTGCGATCCTGAGGCAGTGTGTAAGGTCGCATACACTGGTCCATGTTTACAGGGTGGGGTTGACTGTCAGTCCAGTGCTCTGCAGCCATGCCATGTTACGCTTTGGCTTCAGCAAGGCGTGATATATTAACTTTCCAAATGTGCCATGCCTTCATAGCTAGCCACACAGTACTCTTTCCACGTGAATAAGAGAATGGTTTAGAACTTACAGTTCCTTCACCACATGTGTGAACAGTGAGCTTACACTGTTTACAAAAACGTCTTTGTGTGGTGGAAATTCATCTTTACAGAGACTGGTAAATATGACAGTGCTTACATGAAATAAGCCGATACAGAGAGCCAAAGGCCCCTTTATCTCACTGGTGTGTGGCATCTAAACAAACTGATCCCACACAAGTATGAAGTAGAACCAGGCTGGCTCTCGTTAGGTCGCCATTCATCAATTGAAACAAAATTACAGTTGAGTAGGAGGGCGCCCTCTCTGTTGATGCAGTCGGGAGGCTGGAGCTGTCAAGTTGCATATGTCAAGGAAATGAGGCTGAAGTAGAGCCCGGCCATAGAACATTTGCCCAGCAAGTGAGGCCCAGGGTTCAGTCCTAGGCCCACTGTCCCCCTCCCCAAAGGCAAGTGGGATAAGAAAGAATTTTGAGTGTTCTTGTCACAAAGAATTGATACTGTGGGGTATAGATGTGCTAAATAATGCGATAAACCTTCTACAAGGCATTGATACATCAGAAGCGTATTCTGGGACCTGTTTACGAATAGATATTAAAAGCTTATATATAGTTAATTAAAAGCTTTCGGATAGTTGATCGCAGTCCTCGGGGGAGGACTTGCCCTGGAGGAGGTGGGAAAGGGGGGTAGGCTGAGGGTAAGGGGAGGGGATGGGAGTGGGGAGAATAGGGGAACCCGTGGATGATATGTAGAACTGAATGGTATTGTAAAATAAAATTTAAAAAAAAAAAAAAAAGTAATACTGTAGAAAGAAAAAACTCAAAAAAAAATTATAAATAGAAAAAATAAAAATGATGTTAAAAATAAAAAAAAGATTAAGATACTATTCAGGGCTGTAATTTAATGGCAGCATAACAATCCTAGGTCAGTTTGTCTTATGTGGTAAGTGGTCCTTTACTAGGAAAGAGTAGTGTTTTTAGCCCACAGTCTCAGGCTACAGTGACAGGTCCAGAAGGTCATAGCAGGAGGAGTTTGGGGCAGCACAGAAGGTGAAGACTGTTCGTGCTCATCTCTCTCCTGCAGTGCAGGATCTCACCCCAGGGAATGGTGCCACCCACAGTGGGCGGGCGGGTATTGCAACTTCAATCTACTAGTCAAAATAATCTCCCACAGGCATTCCCAGAGGCCTGTCTCCCAAAAAGTTCTAGACCTCATCAGATTGACAGTTGAGATTAACCATCACTCAGGTCTCTTTTCATCTCCACCCCACCCCCGCCTTTGAGACAGGGTCTCTCTATGTACTTCTTAAGGGCTGTGATTAAAGGTATGTCCACCATGCCAGCCTCCTTTATAATCCTGGTCTCTATAGCTCAAATCAGTGTGTATAGAAATTTTCACTTCTATTATAGTAGTATAATCCATGGAAAGAATTGCATATGGTAATGGATCTATGAATTTTTATCATTATTTTCATGCTTTAAGTCTTTTTTGAAAAAAAGAGAGCTATAATGGGATGGGGTTTGCTGTGTATATAGATACAATTAACAAGGGTTTCTTAAGAGATTGTGCCAATTCATGTAAACCATTCCTGTTTTATCTCATCCTCTATAACACTGCATGCCTATAACTCTTTACATTGAGGGTATGATTTGCATTTCCTGTAGTGGGGATTAGCACTTGCCTTGTGTCTGATTATTCCTTGTGTTCTTTCTTACATGACTTGTTTGTGTCTAATTTACAAGTCATGGGATCCAGAGTACAAAAAAAGGGGGGGGGTGCTTTTTATGGAGATAACCCCCCAAAAGGAATTCATAAATGTTAACTCATTTTGAATCCTCTTGCCTGGACAAACAGGAAGCTAGGGAACTGACAGTTCCTGCCAGACTGGGACACTCGGTCGAGTACCAGAACATCTGACAGCAACACTCCTGGTGTGGATTACATTGAGTTTAAATTGTGTTTAAAACCCTGAAGTTTCATTTCAAGGAGTATTAAAATTTATACTCAGATTGAGGTAGAATGTGTTATGTCTGAACCTCAAGAAAGAAACTTGCATCAAGAGCTGGATGATAACACTTTAAATGAAAATGTAAATGAGCAGCATGAACCTTGTTACAAAAGTACGGAGGAAGGGCTGGAGAGATGGTTCAGCCATTAACACAAATACTGCTGTTGCAGAGAACCAGAGTTCTGATCCCAGCCTCCACAGTAGGCGTCTCACAGTAGGCTACCTGTAGCTCCAGCTCCAGGGAATCTGACACCCTCTTCTGGACTCTGGACGCCTGCCCTCGTGTGCACACAGAAACACACACATATACATAGTCAGGTGTGTAAAGGTACAGAGGGAAGGCTAGGTGCTCAGCAGTGTTAAGTGGCTGAGACAAATGGTATTTCATTCAGCCAGTTCCTTCTAACTTCAATCTTCAAGTTTTAGGCTAGTGCTGCTGCTGCTCCAGGCATGTCTTAAGCACCTCACTCTAATGTGGAGGCTGGCAGACAGGCTTGTAGAAAGAAGCCCCTGCTGACCAAGAAAAGCCTCCTCCTGGGGCACACTGTACCTCCTTTGTTTTTGTTTGAAATCATAGTCACGGGTGTCTTTCTATCCTGGGCCTTTAGGAACTCAGCCTGTTTCTATGTCCTTCCACCTCCTAACATCTTCCATCCACCCCGGTTGGCTAACAACTGTTAGAGGCTGTAGACGGTGAAAAGAGATAGACTGTGTTCTAGGCAGGTCTCTAGAGGAGGTAATGCAAGGAAAGCGCCGTGTTTCAGGTTTCCCTTCTGCTTGTCTGTCTTACTAATTGACCCCTTGATGTTTCCATTGGTGATTTCCTATACCCCGCCCTCTGCCTGCCTCTTAACTGTCTCATACTTTTTAGCTTTCTGACAGTTGAGTTAGGAGCATCTTCCTGGGTGTTTTTATGAAGCACATTCTGCTGAAAGGTTCTGTATTCTAGCCCCGAGGAGTGTAGTCAGTGATTAAGTGTAAAATTCTGTCCAGGCACATGATGGGCTCTGCATTAGAGTGCTGCTGCCCTAGGCTATTTGACAGCTGTCTGCCATGATATGATATTAAATCACTGTGAGGCGTCAGCCTAGGAATACCAATTTGCAACCAAAGCATGCTTCTGATGCATGAGAAACTTAGAAGACAGAAACAGCTCTAAACACGGCTTGGAAAGGTTTTTGATGAGCAAATTGTAAATATTAGCACCTCTAAGCTTGAAATATTACCCATGGAGCCAATATTCACATGTGTAGTCCCTGTTTATGCCAGAGACTAGATTGAATTACTTAGAGAAACCTAAAAAGAATTTTAACTCCTGCCTCGATGAGCCAACAAGGTCAACCACCTGTCCCAGGTTCTGCTTCTCCAGAGCTGTAACCCAGTCTGAGTGTGGAGTTGAGATCCGTCATGCACTGCTCTGCATGGAGAAGATGCTTGGCCAGTGCAGAAGTGTGCCCCTCAGTTCCAGTGAAGGATACTGTCTCTAGAGTTGTAGCTGCCACATTTCTGTTCCTTAACGACTGAGCGCTTCCATCTGCTCTGCTCCAGGCATGTCACTACCAAAGACCATTCAAGCCGTGTTTCATTTTTATAGTGACAGACAGTAGTAAGACTTATGAACTGGTGGCATTCCAGTAAGGCCCTGTGCTGCCAGGGCCTCTCTGGTGGTTGGCGTCTGTGAGAACATGCAGCCTGTGGGGTCTCCCGGGCCTAGCACCTGGCTTGCTACCCCTGTCACCATCTTGACATTGTTAACAACTTTATAATAAGAGGCTGCACGTTCTCACTTTGTGCTAGGTTCTACAGATTATATAGCAGCTTCCTGGTAAGTATGTCGTTGTTATTTTAACCCAAACACACAAAGCAAGGTTATGCTTGAATCAGTTGAGCTAGCCCTAGTCCTGCATTTTCTAGGAGCAGTTACTCTAGTCTTCCCTGATTCATTGTTCATAGCAGCCTTTTCAGACATAATTACCATGAATAACAAGACACGAAATGTATTTGTTGTTTACAGTTAGCATGGCCACTGCTCATCATCTCAGGTTAATTTCAGACCATGTATAACAAGTGTTTGGAAGTGTATTTCAGGTTTTAAAATATTTAGTATGTTAATATGATGATAGTTATATATTCCATACACTTACAAATTACTATAAAATATTTCAATGTTAAAGGGGCACTTAGAAGATTTTATATTTGGCTTGAGAATTATTTTACTGGCTGGGCTGTGGTGGCGCACACCTTTAATCCCAGCACTCGGGAGGCAGAGCCAGGCGGATCTCTGTGAGTTCGAGGCCACCCTGGTCTACAGAGCAAGATCCAGGACAGGCTCCAAAACTACACAAAGAAACCCTGTCTCGAAAAACCAAAAGAAAAAAAGAATTATTTTACTAAAAACTATACATAAACAGTGTATGCTAACTAATTAGTCAAAAACATACAAGAAATTTCTTCTGGCGCTCTCACTTTGGGCCTCCTGCTGTGTTTCTCTGTATAGTATCTTCCTGGAACCCTCTGGATTCCGGAGCCTGATAGATTGTGAAATATTTCTTTGTGCTCATTGATGGGCTTTCTGGAGCTGGTAGAGTACAGCCCTAACTTCAGCTTCTGCTCGGCGTCCCCTCGATGTCTGGCACTCTGCTATACCAATGCAGAAGAGAAGTCTCATTTCCTCTTCCTTAGGCAAGACGTCATTCCCCTAAAGCAGAGTCCCTTCTGGATTAGATTTGGGGGAAACGGGGTAGGGTCTGTGAGAAGAGTTATAGAGAGGCTTTTGACCTTCTTGGTGGCTTTCAGCTACTGTGTGGGAAAGTGTTTGCAAAGTGGCATGTGAATCACTTCTCTCCATTGAGTTGAGGATTCTTTCTTTTCATTTCTTCTTTCACTTAGTACAGGTGTCTCCTGAGCCCCAGATCCTTCCTAATGGCTCCCAGGCATGGGGCAGATGCTGTGCTTTGTTTTCTGATGTGATTTCCATTAGATATCTTTCACAGACACCCCCCCCCCCAAGAGGTGGGCGGAAGTCAGCTTTGAAGATGGAAAGCTGGGGTGTAGGGATGCTCTCAACCTTGCTCCCTCTCCTCCTTAGGATACTCCGCCTCTGCTTTCTGCTCCATGGCTTTGTGGCGTCTCTCTGTTTCTCATGTTTTAAATTTCCTTGCCATACTGCTGTGGAGAATGGTTTACATTTTCCACAACTGATTTTTTTTTTTTTTCTCTTACAGAGACATTCCAATGCCCCTCGTCAGCTCAGGAGTAGAGCATGGGAACCTGCGAGAGCTGGCATTTGCAAGAATGAAAGACCTTGGAATACAGGTTTGAATAAATGTGTCTGCCAGGTATACTGTAAAGAAAAAAGAAATCTCATCACACGTGTCTCCAGGGCTGTCACTCTTAGGCATTGCTGGTACCATTTGGGTCAGAAAGCTGATGTATGTTAGAGGTGTTCTGTGTAGCATGTAGAAGCTGAAGTGCATGGGACAAAGGCTGCCACTGTCCCTTTGTCATTCTGACTTCTTCTGTGACCTGTTGGCTTTATATTTACTAAGCAGCTTCTCTCTCTTGACCCTGAAAGAATGAAGGAAGCTGTTAGTTTGATGGTCTCTAAGGTAGTGGTGAGTTTGAAATGAAGCATCCTAGAAACTTCTTAGGGCTTCTGAAGAGATAAGCCAGGAGTGGTGCCTGGCCAGGGCATCGGGGGTTCGGCTCTGCTCTGGGAATGCAGCGCCATCAGTTGGGAGAGGGGGAGGGGAGTCTGTTGACTGTGTGTGAAAGCATGGACCATGCTTTCAGAGAGGTGGTTCCAAGGCTGGAACAGCACACATAGGTGGACTTGCCCATGACTTGCTCAAATTACCGTGGAGGAAAAAATTTAGAATGTTGTCCAAATTTTTGAATATCATTTATTTATTCAACAAAAAAATAATATAATAATTAATTAATTAAATGTAATAGACAAATTTTGAGTTTTAGAAATAAGCAAATGCATGTAAGCAGATTAGCAGCACCACACAGGACTATGGGCCTGCTCTGCTCTCCACTCTCCGGCTGGCCTCAGTCTCCATCTCTGGCCTCCTAAGAAGCTGCTTCTAGGGGACCAGCAGGCCTGGCTACCGGAAGTCTCCCTGTCTAGTGGTCTTCTTTAATCCTGCCCCACCCAACCCTTGCTAGCCTCTGCTAAGTGGCCCAGGAGTAAATCCAAAGACCCAAGTCTCATAGGCAATGTTCTTAGCAGAAAGCACTTATCATCTCTGCCCTATAAAAAACAAACAAAACCATGCCCCAGGCAAAACCAGAAGTAGAAGCAGCAGGTACCTGTTGACTGGCAGGTAACTCAGCCACACAGTCTCCTGTATAGAGCTGGGCTGGAAGACAGAATCTGCTCTCAGTAGATAAGCTGCAGGATCTGGTGGCCACATCAGCAGAGTATCCTTCTGGGCAGATTTCTCAAAGCATCAAAATACCTTTGTTTTTGCAAAACTGAATACTGGGCTCTTATAAATGTATTGTTAGTAAAATTGTTTGCATGATATCGTCAGATTTTCTAGCATGATCCTGTGTCACTGGTAGAAAATATTGGAATACTGAAATTGTATTTATGGTTTATTCTGTAGGGGAAGAATGTGCCGTAGGACATATCACTGGCTAATGCAAGGCTTTTGTACTGCTGTGTCAGGCTGTAGAGCGTGCACCCTGGGTTGAGGTGCAGGAGTGAGGGTGGTTTCAGATCCTGGCCATGCAGCAGGCATTGCACTGACGTTGTCTCCTGGAAGCTGTGCACGCCAGGGATGTCCAAGAGCCACCTGTAGTTGAGGTGTCTGTCATACATGATTCAAGCTCCTTCTGCATCTCCCCTTCCTTCCTGATTCCCATTCTTCCCCAGTGCCTTTCTTTAAAGGGAAACACGCCTTTAATATGTATCCTTTTGATACATCTAAAATAATAGGACATTAAAAATATTAATGTCATACACAGTGAAGGTTTTAAAAATTTAAGGATTTGTTTTTGCTCTTCTGTGATCATATTTTGGGACTGTATTTTCAATCGTATTTTGGGGTTGTGTTTTTCAAACAGTTAAATCTCTTGGGCAAAACTATTTTCTAACTTTCTAACTTAATGTTCTGTATTCCCCAAGATAATATATGATCTCTTTGAATTCTGAATTCATTTCAAAAGGAAAACTGTAGTTCACAAATTCCTGTCCTCAAATTGAGTAAAGATGGCTTTTTTAAGTTTTCATTCTTTTGTTTCAGTGTAAGTTATGTTCAGACTTGATTTTGAGCCCAGGATTTATTTTAAATGAACATTGAATGAGTCACTACTTTGATTTATTTTTTATTTTTTATTTTTTGGCAGTGCCGAGATGTGAGAACCAGGGAGGTTGGAATCCAAGAAATTCATCACAAAGTGCGGCCATACCAGGTCAGTCTCCTTTTAATCCATCCCAGTGGACCCCACCTGCTCACAGAGCAAACCCAGAAGTGAGTGAATAGCTCAGCAGAGCAGGGTAGCAGGTCAGGCAGGCCAGGCTCTCCCTGAGTTAGGAGAGCCAAGGCTGTGCCTCGTGTCTCATCAGTGGGGACTCAGGGCCCCAGTCATTTGATTTGAATGTACTCAGCTGTGAGTGGCTGCCCACGACTAGGGGCTGCCTTCCTGTGGAGAGCCTTGCTGGTCTCTTCTTTGTAACTGTCACGTTCTTGGCCTTTGGCAGTGACTCAGGGAGTGGATGGCAGCCGCTACCTGGCTTCCCCAGACCTTCAGCACAGTGCCCTGAGGCATTCAGGGTAACTTCACTTGCATACATCTATAATGTCTAACTTGGTGCAGCATTTTCTATGGGGCACAGTTCTTGGTAGCCCCATGTGAGAGAGGCTAGAATAAATGAGCTCTGAGGCAGTGTTTCCATTCTTAGTATGAACTGTTGTTGACATTAAAGGGCCTTTCAAGGGAAAAAGTAGACCCAACATATCTAATCATTTTGGTAAGTTCTTTTTTTTTTTTTTTTTTTTTTTTTTGGTTTTTCGAGACAGGGTTTCTCTGTGTAGCTTTGCGCCTTTTCTGAGACTCACTTGGTAGACCAGGCTGGCCTCGAATTCACAGAGATCCGCCTGCCTCTGCCTGCCGAGTGCTGGGATTAAAGGCATGCGCCACCACCGCCCAGCATTTTGGCAAGTTCTTATTCTAATTCTATACCAAACACTAGGCTGAGGGCTGTTGATTCTGCTTTGAGTGTGTTCTCCCCATCTGTAGGGCGTGTCTGTTCTATCCTTATCCAAATACGTAGAGTTCTGAATGTACACCTCTTGCTCCTTCGTGTTCATAGAATCATCTGTACCGCAGGTTGAAGAGTCAGCACCTACGTAGATTTCAGCCACTGAAGTCCCCAGGCAGCTGCCATTCACCCTCCCTGAGAAACTGCACTCTAGCAATTGGATTTGAACATGCTCATTCCTTCACTAGGAGTATTTCACAAGCCCTGTGAATGTTATTCTTTCTTAAATCCCATTGAGAAACAGGAAACGAGGATCCCACACACATACAAAGTAGGCTTTAGTGGAAGAAGTAAGGACTAAACAGGGAGACCATTGACCATCTGACAGTTTGAAAGCAGGATGGGAGTGGGAAGCGTTCTGAAAGCCACGCATGTGACTTCATCTGTAGTTTTGTCTTAGAGACAGTACATAGGACATCATAAATTTACATAGAAGCAGTCACTGAGCTGGAAATCTCAGAATCTCAAGGTTAATTAAGTTCAAATATTTGTAAAATTGTTCTCCATTTATAATAGTCCATGAACAAGGCATGAACTCTTATTTAATCCTGTGCTACTTGAGAGGAGGCAAATAAAAACCATAATTACTGATGATTCATCCTTTGTTCCTAGCTGAACATTAGCCTAAACACATCTATGCACTTATAAAAATGAGCTTGGTTCTCTAATTCTGAATGAGGCTCTCCATGGCTTTTTATCAAACAGGTTGAGTTGGTCCGGAGAGATTATGTTGCCAATGGAGGCTGGGAAACCTTCCTGTCCTATGAAGATCCTGACCAGGACATTCTGATTGGCCTGCTGAGGCTACGGAAGTGCTCTGAGGAAACCTTCCGATTTGAACTGGGCGGAGGCGTTTCCATAGTCCGGGAGCTCCATGTGTACGGGAGCGTAGTCCCTGTCAGCAGCCGGGACCCTGCTAAATTCCAGCATCAGGTACCCACGTCCTGCCTCAGTGGGCCTGTAGTTAGGAAATTGCCTGAGACAGGACGAGACGGTGGGGGTAAAGAGGGGAGATGTAGAGTGGGAAAGAACATAGGAACAAGGGTTCATTTTGTTCAGGGCCATTCCATCTCCATGTTGTTCCCTTGTGGTTCCATGGGTGCTGGGAGACGACAGATACATCAGTGTGCCTGCTTAAACAAAACTGTTTCACTTCCTGCAGCATCAAATGAGGTAATGGCAGGAATGTGATTCACAGGTATAAGTTGTATAATATGTATAAACCCCTGTTCTGACCTCAACGATCTAAATTTAGAAATCTGTGGTGTTCAGTTTCAGGGAAATACATTAACAACAGTAAATAGTAGGTTTAAGGTAAACCCCAATTGGATGATGCAAGAATTTTGCAACATTCCAGACCCTTTAAAAAGTGGAGGGTGAGTTGAATAAACAAGACCTGTTACTCCAGACTCCTAGACCTGGAGTTGCCTAGACCTTACCTAAAGAGAAAGACGAGGAGGGGAAGTCAGCCCTACGCTGACCCAGAATGTCATAGCTGGCTCTTGTCTCAGTGCTGACTTCTTCACGAAGTCGCGGAGTGTGCTTTGGGCAGGGTCCAGGGGTTTCCTTTTCCTTAACCATCAGTAGCTTTTTATCACTTCTTAAGACATTGTACCAACCTCTCTTAATGGTCTTCCTTCCCTTCTTAATCCACAAACTCCCTGGTGCTCCTTCTAGGGCTTCGGCATGCTGCTGATGGAAGAAGCGGAAAGAATAGCTCTGGAAGAGCATGGATCTGGGAAAATCGCCGTTATATCAGGTGACTGGAGAGGAGTTCACGATTCACACTTGACACCACAGTGAGGTTCACTCTCGCCTCTGTGTGGTTACTGTGTTCAGAACTGGTCTGGGCTGACAGGTGAAGGGCTCATGCTCAAACCTTCAGGAAATTTCTGAGCATTTGGGTCAGCTTGAGCTTCTAGACGCACTCTGCTGTCCAGCACCAGGCCGGTAACCTGTGCGCAGTCTCTACTTGTCTGACCTCTGTCTGGTCACTGTGGTCAGCTTCTCTCTTGGGCTTTATGCCAGCTGCTCTGTCTGTGGAAATGGAGTTTGGTAGTCTGGCCTAAGGAAATGTGAACAATGCAGACCTGAGATGTTGCTGCAGGATGATTGAAGGCAGCATGTAGTTCTTGCCCCTTCCAGGATGCTGCTGTGGCCTTTGCTTCTGAGTGACAGCGTTTCCATTTGGAAGTAGGAGGGAGGGAGAAATTTTCCTCTGCCCTCTTAGGGTCCCAGGCCAGATCCAATAATTAAATGAGCAACGACAAATTAACAGGAAGAACATGTACAAATTAACATAAAATGAGTAAGACACGGGAGCCTTCAGAGGAAATGAAGACTGGGAGATGCATGGATGCATGGGAATCTGCGTGTTTTAAAACTAAGTCGATGAAGGGTGGAGAGTCATGGGAAAATAGGACAGGAGGAGGGATATGGGCAGGCTGAGAGTAATCCACCTGGGGGACTTAGCAAGGATGTTCTCCCTCCAGCATGGGCTGGAGGAGTCTTCGGGAAGGTCGGGCAGGGGAAGGTCCGAGCCCTTCCTAGACCTGCTGTGTTCTCAGTTCCTCCAGCCTTTGCCAAGGCATCTACGTGGACTTGTGTATCTGAATCCTATAAGAACCACCCCTCCACCCCAGCTGCTGACCAAGACATCCTATAGTTGGGGAGGAAACATGAAAGGAGATTGGTGGGGGAGCAGGAAATGATAGAAAACCCCTTTACTCTCACTCCTCGGTGTGGTGTGCTGTCCCTGTAAGAACAACGACTAATGACTAGTAAGGAATCCAAGGTGGTGAAAGGCAGAATCGGAATTTGTGATGTATTTGCCCCCGGAATGCATTTTCTTTTCCTGTTTGACTACCACATTCCAAAACTTACCTGTGACCTGAGAAATACTCTTCTCTGAAAATGAAAGCTGAAATGAGGTTTTTAAAAGAAAAATCAGTAAGTTGCCAGTCAATAAATCAGTACTGGTGCCCAGGTCTTCATGATCATAATTATAGAAATATAATCACACAGGTTCACTTAATCATTTAGTCTGGCTTGGGTTTTTGATGTTACCCAGATGCATAATGTATTTCTTAGCATATCTAGCTTTTTCTATTTTTCTCCATTACTTTAATCCCACAAAGAAGTACCTGGCTGAGGCTTCCTGACTGTCACTGATGAGTAATAGAAAGCGATTCCCTCTCCCAGCTTACCCTGTACTTGGCCAGGAGTACCAGGAAAGGGCAACCTGCCTCAGAATGCCCTCTGCCTGTGCATCTGGGCGGGGCTGGCAACACCTGAGCCCCAGGTTGTCGTGGGCTTTGAGATCACCCAGAGAGCTGCCTAAAGTCATTTCAGTACACTCTGAGAGCCCACAGCTGCTCACCAGCCAGTGGCTGCCTCAGATTATCTCCAGACCACATCAGAGGCTAGACTTTAGTATTCTCCCAACACTATGCTCTCTTCCCAGTTAGTTGTTAAGGTGACCCTAACTGTCTGACCTAACTGATTTTTCTGGTGCTTGGGACCCTATCAGGTTTCCATTCTTCATCACTGCCTTCCTGCCACCCCTTTTCCCTCAGAAGTATCCACCCAGGGCCCCTGACTTGCCTGAGGTCAGGTCCAATTGCACATAAGAGCCTCTGTCTTTTTTCTGAGCAGGGTGTCTTTCTGAGTGGGAGTCAGCATCTGTCCTCACCAGCTTTTTATCATACTCTAAATGATAGCTCAATTTCATGTCTTCTGCATGGCGAATTTCTAAAATAACAAGAAGCCGCTTGCTTAGAGAAGCAGGCGAGAGAATCTTTGTCTGCTCAGTGCTGGGACTCCTCCTCCCTGGCACCCTGCAGAGGGTTCTTCAGCCAGAATGGGTTTCTATAGGAACGGCCCTGGAAGGGCTTCCTGGAACTAAAGTGAGTTCTTTGGGAGAAAGGTTGGTGAGCATTGATTCTGCCCTCTGGCCTGGGAGCCCCACCATTGTAGTAAGGAAAACCACATATGGCCTCCTTGACTTCCTGTTTAACTCTGGCCAGCCTTCACAAGGGAACACTGACACATTTGCTGTGTGGCAGGTGCATTTTATTGCTCTTACTTAGCAGTGTATCATGGGTCTGAGAGATCTTAGTACAGAACTTAGGGAAGGTAGATAACAAGTGTTTGTTATTGTGCCATGTGCTGATGTTACTTTTTCCTTCAATTTTTTGTAAATGGGGTGGTGATGGTGTGTGTGTGAGTGTTGTATGTGTGTGTGTGTGTGTGTGTGTGTGTGTGTGTGTGTGTGTACATATGCTCACATGTATTTTTTTAATTTATTTTTATTTCATGTGCATTGGTATTTTTTGCCTGCATATGTGTCTTTGTGATGATGTCAGATCCCCTGGAACTAGAGTTACAGAAATGTGAGCTGTCATGTGGGTGCTGGAAATTGAACCTGGTTCCTCTGGAAGAGCATCAGGTGCTCGTAACTGCTAAGTGATCTTTCCCATCTCTCCAGCCCCACATGTATGTTTTAACTGGTGTTTTAAAAAAAGTCAAACAGTTGCTGTCTGTACACTGATCCTTAAACAAAACTCTGATAATGCACAGTACTGCTGTTTTTGGGGTGCATGTCTTGAGTGGCACTATTGGAAGTGGCATAGAAAATATATGGCTGGTGCAGAGTTTGCAGGGAGCGAAGGCTCCATTCCTGCCTTGCCAGCCACTCTCCTTGTGAGCTAATGAAACGCATGGTCTTTATTAGTTGTTATTAAAATCAGGTCCATCAGGTTATCTTTGACTGTTCTAGTCTGGTGTCTTAGTTAGGGTTCTGTTGCTCTGAACCATGGCCACAGCAACTCTTATAAAGGAAAGCATTTCATTGGGGCTGGCTTACAGTTCAGAGGCTTAGAAAGTGTGGCAGTGTACAGGAAGACATGATTCTGGAGAGGGAGCTGAGAGTTCTGCATCTTGACCCACAGGCAGCAGGACAACTTTGTGCCACACTGGGCACAGCTTGAATATATGAGACTTCGTAGCCAGCGCCCACAGTGGCACACGTCCTCCAACAAGGCCACACCTCCTGTTAGTGCCACTGCCCATGGGCTAAGCATCTAAACACAGGTCTATGGGAGCCATTCCTGTTCAATCCACCACATCTGGCCTCTAGGTTCTCAGCGGGACCCCTTAGGTTTTACTGATTACATTTTACCAGTCTCTTTTCTGACACCATAGATGACCCTTTAATTTCTTGAGTGATGGATTATTCCATTCTCATTCTCAGCTGGGATTTGATGATGAAATTGGTGGTGCTCAAGTTCCCACAGGCAGTTGATCCCAGCCACGGGATGTGGGTACATTTGGGTCACCACTGGCACTACTGTTTTCTCAGACGTTGTTCTCAGCTCGTACTCTGCTCTCTCTGTCCCTGGCCTTCTTCTAAGTCCCACACACGGCGACACAGCTGTTCTGTCTTCACATGATTCGTGAGGAGAAGTGAGAGGGTATCGGTTGTCATTTCCTTGCCCTGGCTATAAGAGTAATGCATTTATGTAGAACTCTGACTCGTTGTGACTGCCCTTCATCTTGGCAGGGGTTTTCTCTGTTACTTAGACTTATAATCCAGTGCTCTACCTCTAGACAGTACTAGTAACTTCACTGTAGGTCTGACTTGAACCACTAGTCAGAAAGGTTCTGTATATTCTCATTTTCCCTATTTAAAATATTGTTTCTATCTGTTACCTCTGTGTATTTATTGAAAACTGTACACTGTGTGCTTAGTGAATATAGCTACATGAGAAAAATTTAAAACTGCTTTAAGCAATTAGTCAGATGAAGTACTTTCTAAGAGGCATTCAAATTCACTTACTTTTTTTAAGTACATAATTGTCTTAGTAAACAGTTTTAAAATTTGCTGTCAACTTTAACTGAAAATTATTTAAAAAACAAAAATGAAATATTTAGCTTCATCACCATCAAAATCACTAGGTGTGTTGAGGGGAAAAATAAAAGTATCTATAATCCCAATACTTGAGAGTCTGAGACAGGAGGATTGCCATGAGTTCAAGGCCATTATGGGCTACAGAGTGAGACTCTTATCTCAGAAGGAGAGGTGTAATGTTGAGCTGCCTTCTGGGAACTGGGTCTCCACCATTGTCCCCATCTACAGGGGAGGATGAGACAACCGCTCCTTAGGCTCCAGGTCATCTCTCCGCCAGGACTGGGTGCTTCTTTCTGCATGGGCCAATCAGGGTTCTAAAGACAACTAGTTTAGCCGGGCGGTGGGGGTGCACGACTTGAATCACAGCACCTGGGAGGCAGAGGCAGGCAGAACTCTGTGAGTTCTAGGCCAGCCTGGTCTACAAGGTGAGTTCTGTTAAACAGAGAAACCCTGTCTCAAAAAAAAAAAAAAACTAGTTTAGAAAATAATGTATGGGCAGGAACTATCTGTTAGCTGTTGCTCAGTTGCAAAGCAGTTAGTCCCAGTTGTGTTCAAGGGCTTCGGTGTCTTAGCTGTTGACCTGAACGGCTTCTGTGCGTGCCCATCTAGTTAAGATGAACACGTTGTGTTTACTTAAAAAACGTGGTGTTTGCCTATATGGTGATCAGCAGTCTGTCCTTCTAACAAGAAGCAGTTTCTCTCATCCTTCATGTATGAGGAAGGATCTCTACTGTGGAAACTAACTACAATCTTTCAAATGCCATCACTAATAATCACCATGGAAACCAGAATTCTGATGTCACAGTGCCCATACCATTTCTACAAGGGCAAATATAATCATCAATAGCCAC